TCGAGTTACACATCCTCAAAAGAAGCCAAGTAAAAGCGGAGAGAAAGGGCTACCACTGCATGAAGTAGTGGTGCTCCTTAAGTACCAGGAAGGAACAGCTGCAGGTGAACTACCCTGGACAGCAGGACAAATAAAAGACCTCTGTGCTTCCTTCAGAACACAGATGCTTTCTCATGAGCTACACAGCCATAGCCACAACAACCTAAACCACAGAGATAAAAGGTTTGCTGCAACAAGTCATTTTACTGAAAACTTTTCCCCTTAAAGTAGAGAAAGATCTTCAAGCAATCATCCACGACAAGAGGCCTTATCCGATGTTCTCCTGTTCTTGAGTTTGCCACAAGGCAGAAAGTGGCTGAAAATCATTTTAACTTGTAGGTAGAAAACATTATTCTGGAAGCAGAATTATCAAAACCATTTTTCTTCCCACAGGTATTGTAAGGTTGTTTCTCTGTTCAGAAGCACAGAGGTATCTCACTCCACACACCCTCGTTCAATGAAGACAACTCTGTCATTAGTAAGTAATTTGCATGCAGACAGCAGGGAGATTAGTATTATTTAATTCCACCTGGGACAGAGGAAAGGCTCTATTATCCACTACTGTGAGTTCCTCCATGCGTGAGTTTTCAATGTTCTGTAAAGTTTCTTTGCAACCTGCAGCCAAACACGAGATAAAATTGTTAAATCTGTGGCAATCCACATTTGAACTTGGACTGTGTCATCAGTAAAATGGGTGTGTTCTGTTCACTGTTGTTACTACCTGCCATGTCTCTGCATTACCAGAGCATTATCAAACTACATGGCACAATTCAGTATGATCAGCAGCCCTCAGAGAAAAAGAGACAACTAGAATACAAAAGGAAGAAGAGAAAGTCACAACACATGTCAAGAATGACATATAGCCAGGTACTCAGTAACTTCACACCTGCTCTTCTTTTGCCTGCCTTTCTTTTCACCAACTTCCGAAATCAAAGCAGAAATCACAAATGCTGTATAATTTTCCCCTCCAACTAAAAAAATACAAACAGTCCCCTTTTACAGCTCACATCCCAAGTGAAGAAGCATTAATACTCTTAACATATTACTAACAACACCAAGTCTACAAAACAATCTTCTATGAAACACTTAAATAAACAGCTAATATGAGGATGTCAATACAGCGTCATCAAACCTGGAAATATATAACCTTAGCCTTTCACGAAATAAAAGGCATCTCTTTTCCAATCAAAAAAGACCCCAAGATAAATTTTTCTACCAAGCCCCTCACAGAATCCATTAATGTATTTATGAAATCATTTAGCGCTCACCACATGATCTCAGTATACCATCCACTCATCTCGAGCTAACACAGCTGAGGAAGAGAACACAAGCTGTTCTGTTTGCTTCTTTGCACTGCTGTCATGGTGCAGTCTAATGAGGGTGTACCATCTTACATTTTCAGAGACACATCCTTTTGTATTTCTAAACTGATAAAGCACTGTACACATTTGCATACATCTGTCTTTACAGATACATATACAAAGCTGCAGCAAAGGCATTATAACTTACTGTGAACAGTACTAAAGAGAGCTTGCACTAGTTTATGTTATGTCTCATAGGCTCAGAGAGCTTAAGAAACAGCTTGATATAGATGAGACATTGGAAAGAGCTGACAGTTTCTTCTTGGAGGGCAAATTCAGAGTCTGACATGATAAAAGAAAAGATACCCTTCTGTTGCAAGTGGGCCAAGTATGTATGGGACAATCACAAATTATACACTCGAACAACCGCCCTTCCCCTTGGTCCCTTCAAGAATGAACAATCATTGAGGGTGATTATCAGAGGCACAGTACTTATCATGACACGATGTCAAAAGCTGGGAGGAGTTCATATGCTATATGCACACTACAAGAAGGTTGGCCCGGATATAACCAACTGGATACCAGTAAATAGCGAAGCCTAGAGGTAGGAAAGATAAAAACCAATCCCCAACAAAGATTGGTTTTGTGTAGTACAGCTGGAGTCTACAGAGCAAAAAGCAGTTCTGAAACATCAGAACTAATGAAGCTCACATACCCACAGATCCATAGCTTGTCTGTGATTGACTGCAGTGTGCAAAAAAGGTGCAAGACCAAAGATTAAACCTTTTCCTATCCTAAGGACATCTAAGTCGTCTACCTCTCACCCTATTCTCCATAGGTAACAAGTTAAAAATGAGTTTTTGCTCAGAGGGAACTTCTACAGTCTCCCTCTTCCAACAGCTACCAATTCCACCCAACCCTCAAGAATATGGTCTTTCAGCTTCTATTCCTCTCTTAAATCAGACTGAATTTTGCTCCTGGGCTCAGATTCATGGCTGGGGGATGGAGGGAAAGCTTAAGCAACACAGATGTTCTCATGTACAGCAGGACCATTTCCTTATAAAACCCCTTAATCACTTGAGGAATAATGGAGTCTGAGGTTACATTTCTTTTAAGTCAAGAATAAAAGGTTCTCGTACATTATCATACCTTATATGGAAATACAAGTCCTTCCAGATGTCCTGAACCTCTATCGCTAAGGAGACAGAGTAAAGCTCTTTGCAGACCTAGAGCCCTCTCTGGAACTTAAGTAAACTATACAGATATTTACAGTTTCTAACAGTCAGCTCAGCCAAGCTTGTATTGCAATCACATACAAACAGGCACAGAAATTCAGTCTTACTAATTCCTAGCTTTCTAATATGAAGCTTTGCAAACGACCATCCTTCTTTTCCACCTATTTGTAAAAAGACTAGTTTCCTGTATTACAGACTGGCTACTATTTATCTGCAGGGCCATAATTTATTCACAAAGACCAAACAGAATTTCACACTCATTATTAGCCAAACTTCTGGTAAGTCTCTGCAACCTGCATTTCTTTATCTGTCCTTCTGTGGGGCTGAAGTTTTGATAAACATCAATTGCAAGAATACAGAATTGTACAGGTCATGTACACAAAATGCTAAAAATATGAGCATGAATTATCTAATGCTTTTATGCTGATCATTAAAATGATCACAAATTGAAAACAGACAATGGAGAAATCTGTCTTTATCATGTACAAGGAATATTAAAGCAAGCTATGATACTTCAGCTAGCTGTGTCCAAATATCACTTTTTCATGAATTAAAGCAGCAAGGGTTTTTCTAAACCACAGAAAAGCACACACTTCCAAAATATAAAGTCAAGAAGTGGGAAGTAAATTGCACAAAACTAGAGACATTAGACTCTGACAGCATATGTAAAAATCTGATACAGGCAATTGTAAACCCCAAAATATTTAGTCAAGAACAGCACTGTCAAAATAGTCATTTTCATACTACACTCAGCTGAATTAAATTTATGCTGTGCAGCAGTAAGCCTTCCCCCCCCCCCTTTTCTAAGTTCATAGCTGATTTTGGTCTTTAGAAGCAGCCAGATAGCAGGCAAGTAAAAATATGGAAAACTTAAAATGGAATCACTTGATGTGGCAAAACAGCTTTTAGGACCGGAAGCATTTTGAAGAAAATTGTTTTCTGCTGTGTTAGAAAACTGCATCATCAAGAGAAAAGGTTACCTATTTAGATAGTACTGTTACACATTACTCCTTTCCCTTACACTACTTGCATAAAAGTACATTATTTCTTTATTTCTTTCCCTTTGAGTCAGCAGCAGAGTCTGTCCACACTGTCAGTAGAACAACTGACTTGCATTTGGTCCTTTCTTAGCGTTTTCTTTCCTGCCTTAAAATGAAAATATTGACTGTACAGATTTCATTTTCTTGTTAGGCAAACATTTAAATGAGGTCCTTATCTCTGCCTTTTAAAATGGTGAGCAAATACACCTATTTGTTTTATTTTCCCTTGTGTTTTTAGCTCCCTTACATAGCAGCAAGTGGTTTGTGGATCCTTTTCCCTTTGACATATGATTTGTTTGGCTCAATTTCCACTGCTTTAGTGTATTCTCCTACCCCACTGCCTTTGAGTCACCAGAATTCCATTGCTCAACCTTCAAACCTCTGAAAACACAATCCTCCTACCATTATATTCTGTAAGACAATTTTCAACCCTCTACATTTACACTAGGCATAAGCATAGCTCAGAGCAACTATCCTGAAGTTTCTCCTTTCAGAGGTAATTGTACTTTAAGAATTGCTTTAAAGGAAAGTAGTGTGTGAGAAAGGCTGCTTCTACAATGTGTCAGCAGTCAACACTTGTATCAAGGCTGCATAACCATGAACAGTTTTCTCATTACAAGCTGATACTCAAACAGAAATTGTAACATGAACAACAGGCTAAAATAATTCTATCCAACTGTTTGGAAAGGCCTGATTTGGTTATCTGAATCTCAACATCACATCAGCAGTAAGAAACATCTGAAACACTAATGCACCGATATGTAAGTACCTTTAAAAAGAAGGAAGAGCTGTCTGAATGTTGAAAAGGCAAATAAAGACCACCACCCACAGGGAAACTGGAGACTTAACTGAAGAGCCACTTAACTGTATCTCAGCTTACTTGCATGTCCTGTTATCTAAAACACAGCCATTGCTCTTCAAGTCCTTCCATTCCACTTCTTCCTCACCAAGTCTTCGTTGAAAGAGTCTGGAACTCCAAAAGAAACATGTCTTTGACAGTTGTGCAATTATTATTTTTAAAATCAGTTAGGGACCGGCTCATCCTGTTGTTCCTTCAGTGCAGTTTGAAGGACAAGCATACTTATATACTTTCATGTATAATGAACACCGAGTAAAGTTCAACTTGCATTTGGGAAATAAATGAAATAAACCCAGCTATTTTTCTGGAGTTAAACATGACCAGCTCAGCTAGTGTACTTCTGTTTTATTTCAACGGACATGTTTGTTCCTTCACCTGTCTGTGCACCTGATTTTGCCTCTCCCATTCACAAAAAAAAACAACCCAACCAAAGATCTTCTTGCATAAAATTATATAGCAATGTACAGCATAGAAGAATCTGAACTGTCAAATATTGGAATAGGAGGAAAAAATACAGTTAAAACTGTTTCTATTTCCATACACAACTTTTATTGCAGTTCCTGTATTCCGAGTGTACAGATACAAATATAAAATGACCCACGACAAACTTTAAACCTGCCCAAATAGCAAACTGAGAAATTAATTCAGTATTAGAGCCAAAGTTGACAGGACTTCAACAGATGATAGGAAGCTTCCCCAGTCTTTCTCCAAGAACAACCAGGATCCACCATATTTTTGGTCCGAGATGTATGCTTTAAGCTGGCAGCTGAGTCTACGAACGAGTGTATTTACCCCAGATGTGCAGCATAAACACAGAAGCAATAAAAAGAAGACTCATGACCAAAACTGGAACAGGCCCACTAAAAATAAAGAAAAAAAATGCATTAACATAAAAAAAAAGTTTGCTTTGTCCAAAGGCCAGTCATTATCAGGCAAATGAAGTAATCATTCACAAACAATTGTACGAAAAAACTTATTCTGTTCCCATAGAAATACCTTAAAGTATTAGAAATGAGATATCCATCTCTATCAAAAACTGCTGCTGCCCATTTTTAAATAGTTTTACACACCCTAATTGTTACATAACTATAAAGTACAATACATAATAATAATAAATACAAAAATCACTCATTTAAAAAGCCATTAATGGTTCATTATTACTCAATGTTGTACAAACAATCTCTGGAAAATTATCAACTGCATTTACTACTCGGACAGCCACCTGAGTAGAGATGTAGTCAGATTCAAAAACCAACAGAGTCCTCTAGCGGCTAGTAAAATTTTGGCATAAGATTCACATTAGCTTTTTTTTTTCTCTAGAGGTTTTATTTCTTGTGGAAACAATGGCAACACTGGGTGAGAAACAGAGATTTTGCTTCCTTCAGAAAGATACACAGAATGACAAAGTTAACTCCATCATTAAATCATTACCCAGAATGTATAAATTAACAAATTTCTGAACTTTTTCCTCCCCATTATTATATTGTTTAGAAATTGTATGGTGATGTTTTTAAAAGACAATTTAATCTTAGCACGGTGAGAGACTAAATCAGTGGTTTCACACTGTGCTAAGATACTGTTATCAAATTACATGCACTCAGTACTGGTTCATACCGATCTCACTTCTGATTTTCAACATGAATTCTGCTATCCAGCCTGGACTAACTGTATCCTTCAGGTTACTGTGTATAAGCAGCTGTTACTTGAATACAAGAAAGTACATAGAAAGAAGCTGAAAGTGGATGGAAACAATTTACTACACATTTTTCTATGAGATCATGGTCCATGTACTTCAAATATTTGTAACTGTAATCTTATATCGAGTTTTAAAATTCATTTATTATCCACCATAGATTTATTGGGGTATGGAGAACCCTGAACAGACACAAAGCATTTATCACATAAACCAGTGACAAAACATGCAAAATAAAATAAAAAAAGTAAAATATACGTGCACAGTGACTACATAAGCAACCCCTACCAAGGAGCTTGTTTCACTAAGCAACAGAACATACTTCTCGATCCCCAGTGTTTTATACGTATTTGAAGTTTATGTTCTCCACAATATAAATTGCAATGGTATCAGGTGCACAGTCTTATACTGTGCCTGAATTACTATTTAATCCCTTTGAGCCTTTAGCAGTAGTAACATGCAAGCTACTCTATGCCGAAAGCACATGGGAATAGAGAAGCACCACTAACCAGAACAGAACACCAGAGACATAAACAAGGGAAGGTTGGTTGTATGTTTGTTGGCCGTTTGGTTGTTTTGAGTTTTTTTAACTTGCAGATGACAAAATAAACAGTTTTTCAATACTGACATGTATCTTATTTCCTCCAGTCCCAAAGACAACTTGCTGAAACCTTGCCATTCTCCTCCATACACCTGATTCTTCTCTGCACACCATGCAGTTTAAATAAACAGATTCAGGCACCTCTAAGACTTGACACTGTTCATTCTCAGAATGTCTTTCATAAGGTTGTATACTATATCACAAGCCCAAATTGATTCTCTACCCACAGGAAACACCACCAATAGCTCTTCAAACAAGAAAGCACAAGACAAGACACAGGAACCACAGGTATCAATTGCCACAGAAAGGGCAAAAAGTTTGGGTTTAGTCTTCCTTGCAAAGTATACAATGCTCAATCTGAGTTTTAAAGAGAAAAATATTGTGTCCCACTCTCAACCAGATTCCCCACAGCTCCCTTTTGCTAATATTACTTTTAAAGGCATTCCTATGTTCTAGAATCTTCCTGAGGCAAACTAAACTTGCTTGTTCAACATACTCTTCTGATGTTGAGTACAGCTTTTAAATGACTAAAATATAACTACACAGAATATAAAATCATAACTAGCATGAAATAGCCTGTTCTCAGGTGGTTTTATGGTGGTTCTTTTCCATAGTAATTTCAAGATCCCATATTTTGAACATCAGGATTAAAACAAAACACCATCACGCTAAGCTCTCACACTGCTGTATGCAGTAGCAATCACAAACATTTTTAAAAACTTCAGCTGAAGCACTTTACCGAGGCAACCACAACCCCTCTATAACCTGTATTTACTTTAAAACCTACCAAACAGGACAAAGAACATAATAATTGGTTGTTATGGAAAAAACATGTAGAAAAATACATGGAAATCTATAAGAAAGAATGTTCCTCCCAAGCCATGGTTCAGAAGGTGATACATCTGGTGTGCAGATGCTTTCTTCCATTAAAAGCCTGACCATACAGCTACCCATGGCAGCCTGCAGAAAAATCCCCAACCAAGCAAGCAAACAACAAAAAAACACAAATGATACTCCCAGTGTTCCAAAACCTCAAAATTTGGAACCACTGTGTTGCAATGTAAATAGAAGGGAAAAATCTACTTACTGACCTGCTTGTATTAAAGTTTAGAACAATTAAGTGGCCATTCAACACCGAAAGTGATACCAAAGGAGTCACAATGAAACTTATTAAAATTGGTAAAGCTGTTTGACAGCTTGTATCACAGCTTGCATCACAGTATTTAAACAATATAAAAATCTACCTAACAATAACACTTGTTTTTTCTCAGTTTGGTTTTAACTTTTAATTGAGCTTTAGTAGACCAAACAACATGGAAAACTGCTGCCTTTGCCTATCTGCACAGATTTACTCTAGAACACTATTACTGCTCTTTAGCTTTTTCTTTTCTTAAACTTGCCTCCTTTTTGGATTCAGAATGAAGAAAGCAAAACCTGAAGTAGTAGAGCACCACTACTTCAATGGTTTGCTTTTTAAAGGTTTGTTTTGTAAAATCAAGCACATATGAAAATGAAAAAACACATAAGAGCTTCTGAGGAAGGATTACCCACATGACAATCACTATCACAAGCCCTTCCCCAAATGTTCTGTTTGCACAGCTAGCAGCAGCCCCCTTAAAGGGCTCCCAAATAAAATACTAATGGATTATCTTTAATCCAGTAAGACCAAGAGGCCAACAAGTATAACTCTACAGGAAGCACAAATGCCCACTGAGGGTATGACTTAGCATGCATCCATCAGCTGATATACACCTTCCACCTTTGTTATTCAAGTATCTGGCTGTAAAGCTAGTTCGGGAAAGTGATCTGATTGACTCAAACCAGCCAAAAACTAAAAACTTAGGCTCTCCTTACAGCTTAAGGGACACTACCGCTATTATTTGACCACAACCTTGGAACAGTCACCTTGTAAAAACAGAGATATACCACAATACTATTTGCTGTGCAAGCTTAGGTAAAATAATTTATCTTCAGCTCTTCAATAAAAACATCTGAGATTCTGCAAGCACATGGCATATCAGTTATGCTTTCAAGGGGGTTGAAAGAACACGATACATCTATTAATAAAGAAAAAAAAAACAAAAGTTTTAACTAAAAGAGAACAAAACCATGCACAAAGATGCTAAATTAACTGTGATGAGAAATTTTTCCCAACTTTAAATGGACTGTTGGTCTTCAATGACCATTTAAGGCAAGACTAGACAATTACAAAATGTAACTTGTATCTACCTTTTTAAAGCCATTACAAACTTTATAAACTTTAGAACTACCTGTCCAAATTTACATATTAAGTAAAATGCTTTGTCCCAGATCTAAGCATGTATCAATTCAGCATGTTTTCCCATACACACCAAAACACTGATGCCTCAGTTCAAAGACTGAAAGATTACAGAAGCAGGTGAAATACACTGCCCCCATGCCTGCCACCACCCGTACACCCAACTTACACTTTGAGCCCTGGAGAGTCCTCAGTGTAGAATCGCCACATCCCACCAGTGCCTGTGGATGTGGCACGGCCTGCACTTCTTGTCCCGCAGCTGGCATTTTTCCTTTAGGGTACAACAGAATGAAACAAAGACCAAAACACATTAGTAGTCAGCCAGCTTCTAGCACTAAGCACCCCAAGAGACAGTGAAGAAGGAAGACACTTCATCAGACCGTACAGTTAGGCAAGTGGAGGGTATCAGCCTATGCAGCCAGACAAGCGGAGAGCACAACGGTCGACTCAACACCTCCTAGGGCTACAGCCGAGTGCACCGAGGCCCGGTGAGGGCTCCCATTGGAGCTCTGCCCGCACATCCCGCGGAAGCACACGGCTCAGCCCCTCTGCCCACCGCTGTGTGTGCCCAGTCGCCAAGTGCAAAGGACGGCGGTAGAGAAAGAGAGCTGCCCCACTCTGAGAACCTACCTCTGCCGGACAGTGGAGCCCGCAGCGCGGGGAGCCACGGCCTTGCTGGGGGAGCGGCCGGAGGAACCGACGCTCGTAGCGCTGGGGTTGGGCCCGGGCTGCGGGAAAAAGAGAGAGCCGGGAAACGGTAAGGGGCGGCGGACACAGCCAAGGGAGAGGAGCCGCCTCAGCCGCCCCCTGCCTGGAGCAGAACCTCACCATGGCAGCAGTACCAACGCTAGCTCAACACTCAACAGAGCTTCACACACAGTCCCGAGCGGCTGCTCCGGCCACGTCCCTGCCCGCAGCAAGCCCCACCCCCACCGCGCCTCCCAAGGCCCTGCGGCTACCAGTGATGATGCCTGAGCACTGCCGGCCTCTTTTCCCACCCTACCTTGCTCCTTAGCCCCTTTCCAAGGGAGCAGGCTCTCCGTAGCTCCGAGGTAGAGTTCTCTCCCTCACCAGCGACCAGGCCGGGCCGGCCGAGTGGAGAACTCGTGGGGCGAAGCGGCAGGCAGCGGCGGGACAGCCCGATGGGAGGACAAACGGTAGGGCCCGAGGAGATGGCTGACGTGTCCTGCGGCGGCTTTTGGGCTGCGCATGCGCCTTTGTGTGTAGTGCGTGGCTGGGGCCCGGGCCGCTGGTCTGAGCGCAGCGGCTATGGCAGCGGCGGAGGAGGCGGGTGGGGAGAGCCCGTCCGTGCTGTTCCTGCACCCGGACCTGGGGCTGGGCGGTGCGGAGCGGCTGGTGGTGGACGCGGCGTTGGCGCTGCAGGCGCGGGGCTGCCGGGTGCAGATCTGGACGGCGCACTACGACGCCGGGCGGTGCTTCGCGGAGACGCGCGGCCTGTCGGTGCGGCAGGCGGGCGGGTGGCTGCCGCGCAGCCTTTGGGGCCGCGGACACGCGCTGTGTGCCGCCCTGCGCATGGCCTTCGTGGCGCTCTATATCCTGCTGCTCAGCGGAGAGTGGGCCGACGTCTTCGTCTGCGACCAGGTGCGGGGCCGGGCCGGGCGGAGGGCGCCGCTGCGGCGGTGCTGGCGGGTAATGGGGCAGCTGTAGGGAGAGGCAGCGGCTGCTGCTGGGGTTCCCCCACCCCTCTCCCTGGTGATGGGCCTTGGCGAAGGAAAGTGCATGGGGAAGTCCCAGGGTGGGGGCGGGGTTTGGCGGCCTCGCAGGCCGAGGTGAGGGAGGAAATGCAGAGCTACAGCGGGAGGTCTTGGGTGAGAGAGTGCAGTTTGATGTGGAGGGGAGAAGGAGAAGAAGGATGGAGCGATAGGACGAGGGGTCATGGGTTCAAACTTAAACAGGAGAGGTTCAGGTTAGATATAGGGAAGAAGTTCTTTCCTGTTTGGGTGGTGAGGCACTGGAATGGGTTGCCCAGGGAAGCTGTGAATGCTCCATCCCTGGCGATGTTCAAGACCCGGTTGGACAGGGCCTTGGGTGACATGGTTTAGTGTGAGGTGTGCCTGCCCATGCCAGGGGAGTTGGAAGTAGATGATCTTAAGGTCCTTTCCAACCCTAACTATTCTATGATTTTAAGGTATTTGGCTTGTAACAAGACTGGCATTCAGGGTATGGCTTTGAAATCATGTGTGCACAGCAGCAGCACTAAACCAAATGATGATTGTCTCTTCTTGTCCTGTCTCTCTTGGTTGCACTAGGTGTCTGCTTGCATTCCTGTACTCAGACTGGCCAGAACTCGTAAGAAGGTTTTGTTTTACTGTCACTTTCCTGATCAGCTTCTGACCAAGAGAGAATCTGTCCTAAAGCGCATCTACAGATTACCGCTAGACTGGCTAGAAGAGTACACGACTGGCATGGCAGACTGTATTGTTGTGAACAGCAGGTTTACCGCCAGTGTGTTCAAGGACACATTTAAGTCCTTATCTCACATAAACCCAGATGTCCTCTACCCATCGCTCAACATCAGTAGCTTTGAAACGGTTGTTCCTGCAGACATAGCTGACCTGATACCAAAAAAGAAAAAGTTCTTGTTTCTTTCCATTAATAGGTATGAGAGAAAAAAGAATCTAGCGTTGGCTCTTGAAGCTTTGCGTGAGCTTCAAGGAAGGCTTGATTCTCATGAGTGGAATGAAGTTCACCTGGTTATGGCAGGTGGTTATGACAAAAGAGTTCTGGAAAATGTGGAACACTATGAAGAGCTGAGGAGACTTGCAGCCAGGCTTAATGTTAATGACCATGTCACTTTTCTGAGATCCTTCTCAGATGAACAGAAAATTGCTCTTTTTATTAACTCTGTATGTGTGCTTTACACACCAAGCAATGAACATTTTGGCATTGTCCCTCTGGAGGCAATGTATATGAGATGTCCAGTTATAGCGGTTAATTCAGGTGGTCCTTTAGAATCAGTCTTGCATAATGTTACAGGATTTTTGTGTGATCCTCTGCCAACACAATTCTCTGAGGCTATGGAAAAAATTGTAAAAGATCCTCTCTTAAAGAACACAATGGGAACAGCTGGGAGAGCCAGAGTTATGGAAAAATTTTCCTCAGAAGCATTCAAGGAACAGCTGTACCAATACATATGCAGATTAACACAATAAAATTTTATATTTTACTGCTTTGTATCTCTCGTTTGTGTAGGGGGCTGGTATTTATTGTGACTATGATGAAGAATCTGGGACATACGAATTCCTGTGGTGTTATTCTTGTGTTGCCTTCTGCCACTTGATACAAAGAACAGGCAAAACGGCCCCCACTGCCTCATCAGAAGGTTGAAATTTTCGTGTGGTAGGCTGGTCTGCCATTGCAGTTCTTTTGTGTACGGTGCCTTGGAAAAATGGATAGTTATAGGGCATTAACTTACTAGGAAATTACTGAACCTTTAATACTATACAAAATGTGGTCCTGTACAAATCCACATTTTGTAAATGGCTAAGACAAGTGCCACTTTATGTATTTAAAATGTTCAAGAATACTTTTTAAGTAAAAAAGGTATCTCAGATGAAGCATGGAGAGAATTTTAAGCCAACTGCATGTTTTAAAAAAACAGCACTGTTGGGCGTGTGAATTGTATGGTTTAAAAATGATCGACCTTTTACTGCTCTTAAATTGCATCATGTAGTCACACTAGGTGTCATAAGTGTACAGGTGTGAGCAGAAGGAAACAGACTAGAATTAAACCAGGGGCATCAGACTCCCTCACGTAAAAACGTTAGTACTGAAATTCTGTGTCTATGCAGATATCTGTGGTGCTTGGGGGTGTAATTTTACTTTGAGATTTCCTTTGTAGAGACTTAAATGATATGCCCTCTATTTAACATTTCATTCTAAACGATGGCACACTTGAAAAAGGTGTTAACACAGCAGACAATAAAGACATTTTATTTTGCCTGTTTTAGTGGTAACTTTTTGGTGTAACTTTTCTGAATAATTTAGCTGGGGGATACTTTCCTACTAATGTAGTGACTGCACATATGACAGTAATTTGACTTCCTCATTCCTTGAAATCATGTTTTAGCCATAAAATGCAATTTTGTAGTCTAAATTCTGCAATTTGTATTTAAAATCGTTTCAGGCATTTTCACATTTAGTACTTCACAAAAAGAGGCCCAGTCTTCTTGTTGCTTAGGACTGCAGCCTAGGTCTCAGTAGAAGGCTTTTATTTAAAGTCAAATAAACAAAGATCCTCAAAGTCTGTCCTTGTCTTTAATCAGGAATTTGGGGTGCTATAATGCTTATTCATTATAAGTTGGGAGCAGGTGGTTTCACGGGCCCTATATCCAACATTTCTGTTCATGTCAGAAGAACTGGCTAGCCTCAGTATATCATCTCTTGCCTCTTCCAGCATTTGTGTTTCTTCCCCACCCCTTAAACTTTTCCTAAATCTTTGCAACTTTTTCAGGATAGGAGTAGCAATGAGTGACTGAAGGGCCTGGAAAGTGTTAAAATAATCTGTGATCATTGATGTTAACACCTTCAAGACATGTTTGGCCTAGGTTTTAAGCTCCAATTAGAAGGTGCAGGCTAGTTGGAGCTAGTTCATGTGGTTGCTTGGTTGATGTTACATTCTCCAGGTTGCGCTGAGTTAATATGGAGCGTAAGGTACATACCAGTGCACACTTATCAGCATAGCTGCAGTGGTGGCTCCATTTATGCTCAAATCATGGCTACCAGCCCTTTCCTGAGTTGTGTTGGCATGTGCCTAGCCCTCTTGGTGACCGCTGGGACTGTCAACAGAATTTTCTTTCCTGGATGCTGGGCCCTGTCCTGTGATCACCTTTGGACTGTCATTCCTTGTAGAGCAGCCTGTCTTGCTAGTTCCCGGCAGGTAGCTTGGGCCATCTCAAGACCTGAGCTGAATCTCATGAAGCCAGGCCTTTGGGCTTGCCATCAGTTGCTGGTAAACCTCAAATTCCTGCAGGAAGATATGGTCAGCATGTAGAGGCATGGCATAGCACTTGAGGCTGCTTCAAGATCTCTTGCTCCCCATCTCAAGCAACCTGACCTAGTGGAATGTATCTCTGCTCATTGTAAGAAGGTTGGGCTAGATGATCTTTAAAGGTCCCTTCCAATCCAAACCATGCCATGCTTCTATGATCTTCTAGAAGCATTCAGTGGGGACTGGATGATGGTATCAGGATTTATTAGTCAGGTGTGGCTAATCTTTACAGCCTATCCCGGGGTTGTATATCCCAAGGGACATTAGATGCTCAGCTGTAATAATCTTAGCTCTTGGGGCACCCTAAGAGGAGATTATGACCATGTGGAAGACAAGGGCCCTGTGCTCCAAAACTTGATGACTGATTTGGAGCAGTTGTGGGGCGATCACAGCTGCCCTTTCACTACTGTTTTAGAGACCCACACAATTAAAGAGAAGCACCTCCATCATGGGATGACAAGTGCCCCCAAATTTTACACATCAGCAAGATGTAGGGGATATCAAGTACGTTTTGTTGTGCTGTGTCTAGACCACCGCAATACAAGAAAACAGGCTCACCAGTGTTGAGCTTCCAAAATGACAGGTTTCTAAAGCAATAATTATTTGTACCTGTTCTGAACCTGGTTCAGAAATCCATATTCTTTGTGTATATCTTTCCTCCTCTCTCCATTATTTAAATAAAAATTTATTTAAGTGTGTTTTATTTAAATCAAATCACAAATGCCTTGTGCAGTCTGCTGTCCAAAGAAATATTAAGTATTGGACTAGTACAATTAAATAAATTATCATTAGCCTACAAGAAAATGAAGGTTTTGAATTTATATCCCACCAGTGTAGTGTGAAGGATGACGCAACAAGAAGAAAATGGTTGCAAGGAGGAATTCATGTCCTATCCTCCCCATGTTTGCACATCCTTCTACCTTCGATTGCAACCAGATACATGAAAAAAAGCCAAATAAAGAAGTTGTTTAAAGCTTTTGGACAAATAAGGATAGAGTATGTACTGGTGTGAACAAAGGAAGGCAGAGAGGTGATGAGGTTTTAGAGTTTCTTCACTTACAAATACTGTGGGCTGGAAAGTGGAAACCCACAGTGTTCTGTCTTCAATTTACCTTTAGTACCTGTAGTAAATAAGAAAAGCCACAATTTCGTACGCATAATCTGTATGCTCTTTTCAAATTATTAAAAAAACAATGGAAAAGCCACCAATTTCAGGGTTAAACCTGCCTGGTAATGCTGTTTTTTTTCCTCCCCTCACCCCTTCATTACTATTTTTTACAATTTTACACAATATAACAAATTTATAGATTTTACAATTCACAGAGAGTCTATAAAAACCTCATGCTACATGATCATATTGCTAAACTTGATTCCTTTTTATTATGGCTTTATTATTCTTCCTCATGGATGAAATGGCAGATATATTTTGAATTGTAATTTATTATACAGTTAATATCGCAGGGGTATTTTAAATTAAACAGTAACTGTAGAATACTGAAAAATTATAGTATTATGAAAGGAGTATATGCAATAGCATGAATGTTAACACAAATAGTAGAGAAAGAAATAGACATTTTAATTAGAGTTACCTTTATCTGCTTTTATGGAGAAATTAGAACATGTTACCCAATAAGAAATAAATCAGAGGTGATTTATTGATGTGCAGTTCTTCAGTGGCAGTCTTTTTATGCCCGAGATAAACTGAGGCGATTCCAGATTTTTACGCTGTTAGTCATATGAGAAGACCAACAAGTTTGACCTCATGAACTCTGAAACAAATCTATTAACGTTATGGTATCTTTATGACTCCAATTCCTGTGCACTGAAAGAGAAGAAAAATGTAACGATTGAGGAAACGAAAATTGAAATCAGTTGGAGTTGCTTTACATGGATAAAGGGAACAAGTTTTAAAACCCTTATGCAAGACAATCAGTCGCTGGGAAATTAGCCTTCAAATGACCTACACTACAACTGCAGGCACATATCATACTTTAATGAACTTTTCCCCTCACAATTATATACAGAATTCCTGTATAGCAGGATTTGTAAAAGACAACACGTTGAGAAGCCCTCTTCAGTTATTCACAAGCAAAATTCTTAGTTGCATCTCTAAGTATTTGCAAGTGTGCAAAACAAATCACAGGAGCATCACACCTTCTCTGATTTACTCTTCTTTAATCTTGATCCTCACCTAGGATTAGCCCTGTAAATAAAACTACAGCAGAATGAGGTGCTATGTGAAATAACAAGCAAACCTAGTAATGATTAATTGCCGGAAGAGATCCGACCATCAGCTCCTGTAGGAGTGCAGGACAAGAGTACAAAGAAATACAGAAGAACAAAACCTGTCAGAGATATATCTCTCATTGGCACCCTTCTTCTGGCACCTGAACCATGAGACAGACCTGTTTGCCTCCTTCACCCTTTAAAAAAACCCTTTTCTTAATCACGTAAAGCCCAAGAACACTAACGTGGCAAAGGACTGCTCAGAGGGACCTAGTGACTGAAGCCTAGCAGGACATTTGACCCTCACTAAGGTGAGAGAGGTCCAAAGAAAGCTCCCACCGGGGCAGCACAGGTAATGCAGCAGATGAATGAAGATGCCTCATGTTCTAGAGGGGGCTTATCAGCAGTCAGAGACAATGAAGCTATCTTGGGTGCTAGTGGAGGAACCAGCACTCATATAGGCCAGGAAGAAGTCCAGAGCCACCTCAATCCCTACCTATATCAGTTTCCCTTCACTCAATCCTTTCTCTTGTTTCTCACTACCTGTGCAGATCCAGTCAGGATAGAGTTAGACGGTCAGGGAGCAGCAAGGGCCATTTGGTTACTAAGGGCCGGGGAACCAGGACCACTGTGTAATAACGCGGTGGGCATCCCACAGTATTCAGGCAAGGTGAGCCAGACAGCCCTGGAGATGTCAGAATGTGGGAGTTGCCAAGCATAGCTGTTGCGCAGCTGTGAACTTACCTCAACAGAAAGGGAACCAGCTCTAGGCAAATGGCTGTATCAGCTGGGTGAAGGAGCTATCTGTGTAGCTGTTGGTCCCCAAGTTAATAAAAAAGAATGGAAATATACCAGCATGGGTCAGCCCAATATAGAGTATAAAATGCAAACAGCAAACAGGAAGAACTCGGAAGAGATATACAAGCTTGAGTGGCTTTCAACCCACATGTTCCTTCCCAGAGGGTGGAAACACCCATGTTCATTATGGTGAATATATTATAGAGATTAGTAATAGAATCACATTTGTATTGTGACTCAACTGCACATTACAGTTGCAAAACTCTCCCAAGAATAATATGTACTTGAGTTGTGATTTAAGGACGTTGCTGTATCACTCTGATAGATGAAAATCCTGTGTAACATAGATAACTTTAAAAAACAGTGGGCTTGTTGTTAAACATTAAATTCTTCATGCATGGAATATGTAAAAGAACCTGGTCAAAGAGTAGCACGTGACCTGTGAGGAGAGGCTGAGGGAAGTAGGCTTGTTACTATCAGCCTTCCAGTTCTTGTAAGGGGTTACTGGAAAGGAGCAAGGCTCTTCACCCTAGTGCTTCACAGGATGACAAGAGCCAAAGGGCATGTATCGTAGAATCATAGAATCATATAATAGGGTTGGAAAGGACCTTAAGATCATCTAGTTCCAACTCTATCAAATCAAGGAAGGTTCCGATTAGATATTAGGAAAAACTTCTGGTCACCATGAGAACAGATAAGCCATGAAACCAGCTGCCCAGATAGGGAGCACAGTCTCCATCTTTGGAGGTTTTCAGGACCTGACTCTATAAAGCCTTGAGCAGCCTGATCAAATCTTGTAGCTGACCCTGCTTTGAGCGAGAGGATGGGCTCTGGCCAGAGAATATGAGTGGAGTACCTCAGAAGTCACTGTTGGGTCCAATAGTATTCAACATCTTTGTCAACAATCTGGACGGTGGTATTGAAATTGCCACCACAAAGTTTGCACATAACAGCAGGCTGGGGGGAGATATATATATATATACTGGAAAGTAGAACCATCACAGACAGAAGTCTGGGCAGTCTGGAAGATGGAGCCAACAAGAACTGAAGATATCAAAGATAAATATAGACCCTGCACTTTTGGGTAGAATAATCCCAAGCAGCGATACAGGCTGGGGTCTGACTGGCTTGGGAGGAGCTGTCTAGTGACTTTAAAAAAAAAACCTTTCCATGTGCACTGTCCACAGCTATTGAGCAATCAGTTAATTCCATTTATCTACAATGGCTATATTCTGACGCTGTGAGAAGTCCCAGTGGTCTGAAACTAGGATCTGGAAGTGGTACTAACAAACAGGACTATTTATTCCTGCTTGAAGCATGGGAACAAAATGTGAAGAAAGCCTCTGAGGGACCCACTGGGTATCACTGTATGAATGGTGGTTATTTTCTACTGCTTCCCAGGTTTCAACCTGTTCCGCACCTTTACATGTAGCAAGCACAATGTCATGCTTCGGTGTTAAACTTGTGCTTTGCAGATACCTAGCAGCAAAAAAAAGAAACACTAGATAGGAAAATACAGTTGTCCTTTTTTTTCCCTGTTTCTGTTGATTATGCTGCTTTCTCCTTTGCATGATGACACGTGTTTAACAGTAGCACTAGACTGCAAGTTCTACAGGCTTACTGCAGAGTAAAAAAAACCCATAAAGTCTTCTTCCTCTCAGCACAGTTACATTATGAGAACTATTCTTCTTAGTGCTAAAATAACACTAAAAGCCAAAAAATAGGTTTAAAAAATGGGTTGACAAATAGGTCGATTTAAAATTGATGCTCCAAATACAGTCACTGCTTAGAAAGTCCATCAACAATTGGTGCTTAGGAGCTGGAAACTGAATTAGGTAACATGCAAATAATGCTAGATATAAGCATCTGCTTTCAGGCACTGCTGAAAACAGAATATAAATACAATCTGATTTTTGATGCATATTCAGGCCTCTTCTGTTCTTGGGCAGAAGCTTTATCCTTAAGTATCCCAAAACATGGAAAAATGGATCAAGAAGGCACCCATAAAGCACATGCAGCGCTTAAGGACATAAAAATAGAGAACTCCCTTCCTGAAAGTGTTCCTGTCCCGTAGAAAATCTATGCATTGTCATAAACAGCAATACACCAAAAGAGTTCTGCTGAAAGGGGATGTTTAATTCATCCAGTGCTAGTGTCTGTTTTAATAATAGTTAAAGGAGAGCGTGCTTTGTCACCTATTCCAGCAGCATCTAATTTTCTGCATAGAAATATTCTTCTAACACTTCAGCATGAATGCAAGACAAGGAATTGGCACTTTTAAATTAAGCTACCAATCTGTGACATACTGTGAATAAAGTGAACAGTATCACGAAACTTCATCTATGAATTTTTGATCGCTGAAGCTATATGAAAGTTCATGACAGGTGACAGGGTAAAATTCCCCAGCTTGCATTCCTACTGTATTTCATAAATAATCTGGGATGCTCACATCTCTAAATACTTTGTATATATACAAGCCCACTGTGGAGATCTGACCTTTTAAATGGGAAAGGCCCAGTCCAAGCTGTCCCCCACAGTGATTAAATTGCTGATGTAAGTTTACTTTCTGCCTATATATTCTTAAAGGGAAGTCAGTTCTTAGAAATTGGGCGTTATGGGGTTATTCATGAGGCTACATTTCTAGAGGCTGAAACAGTTACTAATTAGGATTCAATTTAAAATATTCTCTGCAGTGAGTAAGGGCACTTGCCATTAGTCTAACATGGTAATCTAACCCTGCAGATCTGAAAACATCCGTATTTGACAAAAGAAAGAGATTGTGATTACGTACCCATTTAACTAAAATCAGGCAACACAAACTCTGACTCATGCAGGTGAACGGGTTCTCTAAAAGACAATTTGAAAAAATACCAGCTGTGGTCATCTCAAAGAAAGCACCTCAGCAAGGACTATAGAGGTGGATTTAAAAAGATTTAATAGACGTCAGTCCAGAAGGATTAGAGAACATGCATCCGTCCCATAGGAATAATTAAGCATTAACATTCCTTCCTTTAAGGTGCAAAGAAGCTGATACCTACATTTGTAGATTCCTTGATTTTTGTTTGGGTCCAAGCATGAATATTATCCCCAAAAGTATTTTAAAGCAAAATTCTGTAGATGAGCAAAGGAGACTGTCTCATATGCTCCAGATCTTGCACTTACCAAGAAATGATTCATTGTTCTGCCAATTCATACGGAAGGTCAAGAGAAAGTGAATCCTGAGACCACTGTAAGTAGAAGAGCAGTAAATTTTGAAGAAGGATCCATTCTGAAGAAGCAGATCCACTGAATACAAAGCAATCACAGTATTAAAATAAATAGTGAATAAAAAGGATTAGAAAGATATTCAAAGGCCTAAAATAAAACACTCTGTGCCAGGATCTTCTTCAAAATGAGACTTGGGAGAAATGAAGATTTCTACATGCAATCATAACAAAGGCAGGTTTTTTTGAACCAGTCTCCTCAGAGGTGTTGAATGTCTTCTTTGCCTCTGTCTTTACTCCTGCAGACTCTCCCCGGGGGACCCAGATTCCTATAGCCCCAGAAGAAGTCAGGATAAAGGAGGAGTTTTCTTTGGTAGATGAGGATTGGGTTAGGGATCAGTTAAGCAATCTGGACATCTGTAAATCGATGGGTCCGGATGGAATACACCCGCGGGTGCTGAGGGAGCTGGCAGAGGTCATTGCTGGGCCACTCTCCATCATCTTTGGTAAGTCGTGGGAAACAGGAGAGGTGCCTGAGGATTGGAGGATGGGAAATGTCACGCCGGTCTATAAGAAGGGCAAGAAGGAGGACCCGGGTAATTACAGACCGGTCAGCTTTACCTCCATCCCTGGAAAGGTGATGGAACAACTTATTCTTGACACCATCTGTAGACATATCAAGGTCATTAAGAGCAGCCAACATGGCTTTACCAAGGGGAAGTCATGTTTGACCAACCTTACAGCCTTCTATGAGGAAGTAACTAGGTGGATGGATGATGGTAGAGAGGTAGATGTGGTTTTTCTTGATTTCAGTAAGGCATTTGATACTGTCTCCCACAGCATCCTCATAGATAAGCTAAGGAAGTGTGGGCTTGATGATCAGGTAGTGAGGTGGGTCAAGAACTGGTTGGAAGGAAGAAGGCAGAGAGTTGTGGTCAATGGGGCAGAATCTAGCTGGAGGTCTGTGACTAGTGGAGTCCCTTGAGGGTCAGTGCTGGGACCAGAGCTGTTTAATATTTTCATCAACGACCTGGATGAGGGAACTGAGTGTACCCTCAGCAAGTTTGCTGACAATACTAAACTGGGAGGAGTGGCTGACACACCAGAGGGCTGTGTTGCCATTCAGCGAGACCTGGACAGGCTGGAGAGTTGGGCGGAGAGGAACTTGATGAAATTCAACAAGGGCAAGTGTAGAGTCTTGCATCTGGGGAAGAACAACCCCATGTACCAGTACAGGTTGGGGGCTGACCTGCTGGACAGTAGTGAAGGGGAAAGGGACCTGGGGGTCCTGGTGGATAGGAGGATGACCATGAGCCAGCAATGTGCCCTTGTGGCCAAGAAGGCCAATGGCATCCTAGGGTGCATTAGAAAGGGTGTGGTTAGTAGGTCAAGAGAGGTTCTCCTCCCCCTCTACTCTGCCTTGGTGAGGCTGCATCTGGAATATTGTGTCCAGTTCTGGGCCCCACAGTTCAAGAAGGACAGGGAATTGCTTGAAAGAGTCCAGCGCAGAGCCACAAAGATGATTAAGGGAATGGAACATCTCTCTTATGAGGAGAGGCTGAGGGAGCTGGGACTCTTTAGCTTGGAGGAGGCTGAGGGGTGACCTCATCAATGTTTACAAATATGTAAAGGGTGATGGATGTTTACAAATATGTCAGGATGATGGAGCTAGGTTTTTTTCAGTGATGTCCAGTGACAGGACAAAGGGCAATGGGTGTAAACTGGAGCATAGGAGGTTCCATGTGAACATCAGGAAAAATTTCTTTACTGTGAGAGTGACAGAGCACTGGAACAGGTTGCCCAGGGGGGTTGTGGAGTCTCCTACGTTGGAGATATTCAAGGCCCGCCTGGACAAGTTCCTGTGTGATGTACTCTAGGTTACCCTGCTCTTGCAGGAGGGTTGGACTAGATGATCTTTTGAGGTCCCTGCCAACCCTTGGGATTCTGTGATTCTGTGAAAAGGCATTTTTCTCCATCAGACATAAAATAGGCCCTAACCACACTCATTTCTTAAAGAGCAAATTTGGAGCAACAGCAGTGAGTATGGATATACAAGAAATTACACATAATTTTCTTCACAGTAATAGGAATCAGAATTTATATATGCATGTACATGTATTTGATTTATTTTAATGAACTGGAGGAAGGAACAGCCTCTTTCCCTAAATTCCAAGTAGATAAATATATTCTTATTTAAGAAAATATTTTATAGAAGACCTTCTTATGAACTCAGGTGGATAAAGTAATATCCTTGGTATCCTTGTCTAGAACCGGATATAATATCACTTCGGGGTGCCAACCGTGAAATAATCTTCATGTGCAAGCAACAATTTAAGTGTTTTGTGCCTGCTGAAGAGTGCTTCAGAAGAAAGGAAAAAACACACTAAACCCAAGCTGTATCGTGCTATGAGCAGTTACACCTCAAGTCCAGTTTCACACTGTAATAAGTAGTGATTATATTGGCATCAATATCTTGTGTTTGCTCTCTCTCTCTCCTACATGCAATACACTCACTGTTTGCTTTTATCATGTTTCATTTCCTCCATCTCTTTATCACTTTACCACTATGATACAAGAGGCACCTTCTTATTACAAAATACTCAGTAAACTGTTCTCCTCATCTCAGTTTCATCCTAGACTGGACTGCATGGTCACCATGTGGAAGGAGCAGAGGTTGCTACCTGTTGTGATTAATGCTGCATATAATTGTATGTGGCACTGAGATGCTCTTACGAGTATGTGAAAGCTATATAGAAGACTGAAAGAAAGATTAAATCTACAAGACACTAGGATCTGTGAGACTTTTTCCAATGACCATGGTATGAACGTGTTAAAAAAGGTTCCTGGTACTCTGAGACTGCAGTGTTGCAGCTGCCTGGATGGAAACTCCTCTGGATAATAAGCAGATGATAAACAGGCAGGAAGATCAACTCCTTTTACAACTTAATTTGAATCTCTTCTCTTTTGCCTGCAGGATTCATCTAGTTTTCCTCTTCCTTCTTTAGAACCCTTTTATATCAAATTCTCTCACCCAGGCAAAGAGCAAGGCCATTTACAATGGCAATAGAAAGTTGATTAGAACAAATAACAAAGGCTGTAGTTTCAGTGAGTTAAACATCTTTAAGAGCATTAAACAGAACTCAGGCAGGACCTGAGTCTGACAGACTCCCACAGTGGGTTTCAAGATAAGAGTTTCTTTTTCATATGTGTTACATCCACCATAGTGATTCTAGGCTCAAAGTTCACCCTAGGACTGTGCTGCTGAGAATTAATGCACAAAAGGGCAAGCAGTTGATTCCTAAGGTGCTTTGCCAGAGTCACAGCACATCTTTACAAGCTGAGCAAAGTAACTAAGTTCTGACTTTAAACTCTCACCTCCCCCAAATTGCCCATCATACTGTACTTGGTGCTCATCTTGGTGCGTAGGGACAGGAAGAATAAAAATAGTTTTCCCCCTTTGCATGTTGTTTGCAACGTATTCCCCCAGTAACAGATTCCCTTTGCCGATTGCAAAGACTATTGCAACTCTGAGAGAGGCAGAGAGCAAGAGAAATGGATGGAGGTGGGCCTACAGCCAGAAAGTTACCCATAGACTTTCAGATGACATCTCATTTAAGCTGATGATGCTCACTTTCACATGAGTTGTGACATAACCATGGCAGGAACTGACAAGTGTCAAAATCTTAATGAACAAATAAGATTTCAAGTCCTATTCCTCTGTACTTAAGAAAAGCCAGCAAATACTACACATTTTTTCCTCCTTTTTCCCCATGGCACTTACTCCTCTCATCAGCTTCATTGGCACTTTACAAGCGTGTCCAGTTCAAGCTCTCCTTTAGAATAGTTGCTGATATTTAAACTGAACTTGACATGGCTTTCCCACTGGGACACCTTTCTAAATACCACTCTGCTGTGGGGAATAAAGAGTTACTGGATGGTCTGCCATCAGGACTGGAGTTTGTGTGCTAATTCTTGAGCTCAAGAAGCAGCCACTTGTGTTGACTTGTTAAATTATTTTCTTCAGAGGGCACCACATCTCTCATTCCCTTTTTCCAAAGCTCTCATCACACACCAGTGTCTTAATCAAATAGACCAATAAGAGCGGACCTGGGCATAAAGTGGGAAGAAACAGTTTCAGGTATCACTAGATCATGGTGTTCAGGTATGAACAGGGGGAAATTTGCAGCAGCTTCTTCCCCCTTGCAGTCATGTAATAAGCATTCACTGGGGGATATTGTGATCTCTTGCAACTAATCAGCTCCTACAGACTATTTTTCTTTTGCCAGAATAGTGCCTTCTGACAGCTCCCATCGCCCCGACTTAGACCAGGTGCTATGACAGGCACCAGGTCTGCAAACTTAGTGTGTCTGAGGGAGTGTGGGAGACAGTCTCAGAAAGCAGAACCACCATGACCTGGAAGGACTGCAGTTATTTCTCTGGAAGTAACAAGTGTTGCACAAGAGTGCGTGTCGTGCCTTTTCCTCTGTCCATGCGCTTTTCCTCTTCCATGTCCTCCTTATATAAAGGTGAAAGTTGCCTTCTGCTCCATCACTCTTTCCCAAGAAAGGTTTCACCATATGTCTAAGCTCTGACAGCTACCCCAGACAAGGAACAGCCTTCCTCAGAACAGGCTCCATCCAGCATGGATTATCAGACTTGTCTCAGGGCAATAGAACAATTTGGGGTGAGCCTGTCCATTTGTTCTGTCAGAGCAGGCTCAGGAGATGTGCACAAATGGCAAACTGGACAGAAAGTTCGGCAACTCTTTTGCTAATGAACCTCCCTTTGCTCCTGCATGGATTTCCTCATGGAACTCTCTCACTTGTTTCCTTCCGGATATATCAGCCTTTGGGATTGTATGTATGGGTGAGCCATACCCGCAGCAGCCTCTGCTGCTAATTCCAGACATTGCTGTAGTGCTCTACAGAGCAGGCCTGAATGACAGAATCCAAGTTCTGCAGCCTATGACTGCCTCACACATGTCTGGGGACTTTTGGAGAGGAGAAGAAGTGGTTGAGGCAAGAGAGAATACTGTAAGACTGAAGTAAATGGGTTCTGAATCAATAAGGTGGAATTGCACAAGAGGGAAAGAGTTTGAGAGACCTGATAAAGGAATACCAGCTCCATATTAACACTTTTACACACACTGGTGCCATGTGCCCATGTGCAGCACCCTGTCATCTCGTATTCCCTCTGTTAATTTCCTGCTGGATCATGGATCAATATCCGTTCCTACTAGACATCCTGCAGAAAGCACATCCATCTGCAAAGCATGCTGCCACACCACAGGTTACACATGATGTAGGGAAGGCTAGTACACTAGATGGGTCTCTACTGAATAAGGAGAAGAGATGAGGGAGCATTGCTCTTGAAGCTTTGGTATAGAAAGTATAGAAAGAGCCTGAGATCATAAAGGCTCTCAGATGTTATTAGCACAGGCTCGCACCAGTCTGCTCGCTCATTCAAGTAAAACACATAGCTGAACCATCTAGGACAGAATGATCCATCTAGGACTGCTCACCCTACCTGCAGTAAATAGTTTATCCAGTGGCTTATCTGCAGCCACCAAAGGCAACAGAAATCTCTCCATTACTTATTGTTAGTACCTCATGATTTGACATTTAATTTAAGTCTTTCACTATGTCTTACCCAGCAGCTTTAGCATTATAAATAGGAAAGCACTTTCTTTTCCATTTAAGAAATAGCCACAAGGATTCAGATCTATTCAATGAACCTTTTCTTAAGGCTTGCATTGTGTTGTCATAAATTGGTGATGTTCAGAAGCTTACAGGCACCTTTCTCATAATAAAAGTAGGCTAATTGCTGAAGGCATTGTTGCTTCAAGGCATCTATCCATGTGCAGCCTTGTCGAAACCAGGACAAGCTTTCGTGGTCATACTGTTTCCCTAAATCCTGTAGAGGTGAGGAAGCTGTTTCTTTTGTTTACAGTTACAAACTTCTCTGCAAGCATCTTTCTTTGAGATGTTTTATTTTCTTTCTGTTACGAAAGCTTCCACAGCCCTTGGTATACCAGGCGCTCTGACACAGAGGGCAGTCAGGCTGGCTATGGACAATATGCCCTTGACAACTCTGTGTTGGGTATTACTGATTTCTTTCTCAGCCATCACATGCTTAAGTATGGATGCAAAGAGGACATGCTCCATGATATTTCCAGGGAGGGCTTTTGCTGTGTGCTTTTCTCACTGTACTTCATCCTTACATATGCTGCTACAATTGTCTACCCACTATGATTTCTCGGATGCTGTGTCAGATTTCTTTGTAACAATGACAGTAAGAAGACTCACCAGCTTCAACCAGACGGCACTCAATCTCCAGCATAACAGCAGAATTCATACAAACATGTAGCCTGCCTTCTCAAATCAGAAAAGACTAATGACAAATCCAAACATCCTTCAGATGTAAATACTTACCAAGAAACATAAAACGAGGGGTTTCTCCTCATTGAAACAGGCTGTTAGGGCCTGGAAGAGTCTAAAAGAACCAGCCACTCTTACTGTTCTTCCAAGGAAACCTCTCAGTCCTTCGTAAGAATGGCCTGAAACCTATTGCAGCTGGAGCTGAGAAGTAAATCAGGCCATCTGGTCTTTAGAACCCTTGTTTTCCGTGTAACAGATTGGCCACTTTATTGTTAATTGCTTTTCAAAGCATCCATAAAAAACATTTCCAGCACTTATGCTTTCATAGATACTCACTTGTATTAGCATTTGAAACCTCTTTATCTATATTAAATGTTTATACTGTGCTTATTACCATAATGCTTGAGTAGCATAATGCATGCGGCCTCAGAAATCTCCTGGAAATAGGAAAATACCAATCCTCAACTTACAGGCAAGGAGAGGACCATATGTTTTAAGCTGTCTCTGTTCAGCTTCTGTCTTCTGACAAGGCTCGCCCTTTAATTTCTGAAAACACAACTTTGCTTAGGTCCCTTGGACGTGTGATTAGAGTGCACTCCTTGGATGCAGAAGCTGCAGTATAGGAGATGAGGAAAAGAGCTGACAACCCACATAGCAGAGACCACCACTGAACTCATGTCCTCTGTCTCAGACTACAGATGGTAGGCATCACAGCCTCTTTTTCTGACAGCTGCTTCTGTGTGGAACTGGATCCTCCAAACCTGTGGTAGCAGCATCTGCTGGGTCAGATTCCCTGGCTGAGGGAGGAGTGAGGGCAGGTTCCCTGCCCTGAGTGACCTGGGCTGTTCTAAACTGCTCAGCACTTACCCTGGAGCACATTCTGTGACATAAACTTCCCCAGGTGATGCCTATGGACTAGAAAAGGTTCCTAAGCTTACTTATGTATGCTTACTTAATGTTCGTATATGGTGTATTTTGAAATGCCCTTATTAAACCAGCAATTATGATTACATTTGAATAGCAGTAGGAGCTCAATATTGCTAAAAATAACACTTGGAGCATTAATTCACTTCCTTCACATTTTATTTTTGTTTTCACCATGTTTTTCCAGGAAAAAAAAAAAAAATTAAAAAGAATGGCATCATATTCTCTTAAGGGAGAGGTAAAACCCATTAGTGGCTTATGTATTTTGTCTACCTTCATGAATCTGCTCCTTAGGTTCCAGAAAGACTTACAATTTTCCCTCATGTCTAGACAACTTGAAGACTGCATAAACTAATTAATACCCTGTTCCTCCCTACAGTCTACAGTAGTCTGTATTCCTGTATTCTGAGGTTTTGTTAATATAACCATACATGGGAAGACTGCAACCTCGAGATAAACTGGAACTTCTGCTCAGCAGGTGACACAGTTTTACCACTTATCTATGTGTTTCTGTTACAGAATAATATGTAAAGGAACAATTCGTCTTTATCTTTACCTCCATTTGAGGACTCGAAAAAGCAAAGACTAGACTGCTGACATTTATTTGGCAGGTGAAGTAACTTTCCATGCTTTGGGAAATAAGACTTTTAGCCCTAAGGAGAGGATCCTTCAATACAGGAATAATGGCTTGTGTTACATGTCTTTGGGTTAAAAGATTACTTCACTAAGAACATTAAGCACTGGCTATTCCATGAAATCTTTCAAGTACCACTCTACTTGCAGCATCAATTAACAGCCCTGAGAACGATGCCCAGGCTTCCATATCCATGTTGCAAAAGCGTGACATCTCAGGATAGGGAAGGATCAGTGGGATGCCCAATGAAATAATGAAGACTTCCTTGGAGATAGAGAACAAAGGGGAATGTGACACCATGGCTGAGCTCTCAAAGGGCTGAGTCTTGATCTGGGTGAATCCTCTAACCTTGAGCATTCAAGGCAGGACTGCTAGCTCATTTGCAGAATCTCTTCTGAGGAGGGCCTCATCTGATATGTTTGGATTACAGAGCAAAATCCTGACATAAACGACAACGTTAAGACTGACTATGCTCACCAACATAGTATTAAGGTCAAAAGCAGATGTGCCAGTGTGAGGTAGAATCCAGCTACAGGGGCTCTGAAGCGTACAGGCTGGAATCCATATGTATGAAATGGACATCTGGCAAGATTTTGCCATCTAATTCTGTTCAAGGTCTAAACTTAGTCTTCTCAGGCCACTTATTCAAAGGCTTTGTTTCTGGATTTCTAGCTGGAAAATCCATTGAATTTCAGCTGATATTACAATTATGCAGTGTGTACAGGTGTTAATGTCTCTAGTTCCATTTCTAATAGCACACCAAATTAAAGCATCCAAAATTGGAATTTTCTTCCTCCCAAAAAGCCCCCACTGCAAGTCTGTGATTTGTTTCATCTGTAATGCAGGGATAATGATGACTTGCTTTTGACAGATGAAATTAATAATAAAAATCGAAATGAGATCCGCTTAGCCTAACCCTGAGCAAGGCTGATATGTGGAAAAATAAAACTTATCTGTCAACTTCTTTCTGACCTTGGTTGTGAAACTTTTGGCTCAAACACTTCCCACTCTTTTCCTAGCTATAATAAGTTTAACTAGTAGGAAAACCAGCTAGTTAAAGGAAGTGATTCTTCCCTTTATAACAACCCTGCATTAATTAATGTATATTCTGAAAAGACCTTTAGAAGTTTTTGAGAAGCATTATTATTTATTTCTAAGGGAACATATTTCACTGTATGATTAAAGATACACTAGACACATACCTAAAGTTAGAAGGTAAAATTTAATTAGTATCAGAAGTGTCCCCATGAGCCCCTGATTTTCTAAGCTATCAATATCTCTTTAACTACTTACGTCCTAAAGGTAGGGTTTTAACTCTGCCTTTTAGGTCTGAAATAATAAGGGATATAAAGAAGATGGAGAAGCTCTTCAGACATGCACAGAGAAAGGACAACAGACATAACTTGCAGAATTCTGACTAGGTATACAGGGGAAAAAATGTCACTATAAGAGTGGTCAAATACTGGAGCAAGTTGACCAGAGAGCTTGTGAAATCTTCATCCTTGGGGATACTTAGAACTCAACTAAGCAGGTCTCTGAGTGAATAACATGGTAAGTCCCTGTCTGAACCGAATGACCTCCGGGGTCATTCTATGTTATTCTGTGATTATGACTACATAAAGGCCTCTTTCCCATTCATGTGAATCATGTGATGTCATTGTGTGAGCTCCTATCAGTTCCATGATGTCATAGTATCAGCCTTGTGTGGTCCATTTCTGATCCCATTTTATGCAACCCTGACAGAGACTGAAATATTTTCGGTCACAACACTGTGTTTGCTCACCTACTGTAAGCATGACCATGGTCCTATATTAAAAGCTTATTATATTAATTATGCTTTTTTTGGAGACCTTACCTAATACAGCTTGATAACGAGGTTCGTATTTTTTTCACAGAAAATGCAGCTTTATAACTAATGAAACTAATGCCATCTGTATTATGGAGAGTTTCAACATTTTGGACTTCCCAAGATGGCCTCTTATTCAAGTGGGGTTACTTTGGAGGTGTCTTGGAATATGTATGTCATATGCGGCTTGTATATATATCTCTTCTTGGGTGAAATGAAAAATTTAATTATATGAAAAAAATGCAAATTGCTGCCAACTGTGTTAACTGTGAGAGTGTTGCATTATCTTCTAACATAAATTGTCAGTGAATTGAAGAAAAGACGTTTTGGAAGCTGATCTGATTACTGTCAGGGAAAGTGCTCAAACTCAATTGTTGGCAAATGTCCAGTACCCATCACTGAACGATCATCACCTCATCATTCAGCCTTCTCAACTGACATGCAAAACAACATCCAAATATTCATTGCACATCTGTGCTGGACAGATTATGCATTAGCAATTCAAATCAATTCAATGTACAGGCAGTTTCTGTAAAAGCGTCTGTTTGGGTGAGATGCCTTGTTGTCTGGGATGGATAATAAGGCAACTCTGTCTAATCTTGGAGAACAATCAACCTATCTTGAGAAGGTGACTGACTACGTATGCTCTTGCCCTGACAGCACTAGAACAATGGCCCCATAATGCACTTGACTCAGCTGGTAATAAAATCTACTTTTGATTAGCAGCCATGGCTTGTGTCAATCACTGTGTGATGTACCATTGTCCTCTGGTCCTGAACACAGTTTATTTACAAGGAAACAAAAGCTTTTTGGATATGGCTGCTGCCCAGAGATTGCAAAATAGATTGAGCTGTCAGCCTCACACACTAGATGAAGATTAATGAGTTGTGCAGACAATAAATATGAAGCAATGACCATAAATATGCTAATAGGTATTATCCATATACACTATAATTGCTACAAAAATTAAAAAGTAGTGTGAAGGAAACAGGTCACAGGGTGGCAGATAGATAATCTTGGATGCTGAAGGTCTTTGCTTCAGTGAGATTCTCTACAGGTTTATTTCCTTCAATTAGACCCTTCAAAAGAGCAATTGTTTAAAAGCTGTTTGAATAATCTCTTTTGAAACAGAGGTTTATGGGAAAATATTTATGAAAAAGTGACTTCAATGAACATGTTATTGGAATAAGAAGGGTGACTACCAGAAGGAGGCTATACAGAGATTAATGTCTGTGATCAGCTGCCCAGCTTCACTATGAGGAAAATACCTCTTAAGTGGCACACTAGTGAGAATTTCAAGGAAAACATACTGAAGAGACACAGCAGTTTATATATCCACAGGCACAAGAGAGTAAGGTCATTCCTGAGCAAAATACAGAAGAGCTTCATGCACATCTGGATGTGTTTGTGATTTCAGCTTAGCATGCTTTCCTCTTCTTTTTTTTATTAACTGAAGAATGGAAGGATGCCCATGGCCCGGATTTTCAGATCATTTCCAACCAAGCCTCTGTTTACCAGTTCCTTTCAAAGTCTGGACAGCACATGATCTTTGGCACTGAAGGATGAAACCTGACACTCAGAGAGTTAAAAATCAGCCTATGTATAAAAATCAGACTATATGTATAAATGCTTCAGCACCTAAGGCTACTGAAATTGTAGTGACACTGAAAATAAAGGCAGTTGTACTCTTGGTATTCATGGCTTTGACTCTCTGTTCTCTGAGGCTTAGAAGTGCCACTGGGTGGTTTTTTTTACAGCTTACAAGACCTGTCTCCTTTCCTCAGATTTTTACCTTCTGGGACAGGGAAATTATTCCCACTGTGACTGTTTTAATGTCAGGCTCAGTGTATTTCTGTTTCCTTCCATACTTGAACTAGAACTTGCATCAGTTTGTCTCTTAAATTATCACTGCTTGGATTTCTGACAAGCGGTCCACAAAGACTTAGAACTGCCTTAGTGCTCCTGTGCCAAGCTCTCTGTAAACTCAGCTGGGTATCAACTACACTCACCTAACACCTTGGAAGTCACACTTTCTAACCAGAAATGCCAGTAAAACAAAGCAAAAATGCTAGGTGACATTTCACAGAGCCAGCAGAGGAGAGAAGAAGCATATCTTTCTGGGTGAATCGGTGGAGGGAGAGGACCTCTGGAAGCTGCAGGCTCAGGGACTAAATTCTTGTTCCTAATCCCAATTCAGAGTTGACATTT